CACCCCCACCTTCCCTCTGAGGCCCCTCAGTCTGTTCCATGCTTCTGTGTCTCTGGACCTATTCTGTTCATTAGTTTATTTTGTTCATTAGATTCCACATATGAGTGAGATCATGTGATACTTGTCTTTCTCTCACTGGTTTATTTCATTTAGCATAATACTCTCCAGATCCCACCTTTTTATTTTATTTTATTATTTTATTTTTTTATTTTTATTTTTGACAAGCATCCCTGGGGAAGAGGCACACCTGGGAACGAAGACTAGGCTAGTGGAGTGGGGGCGGAGACGGGGCTGGGCTCAGCTTGGCCTGGACTGGACTGAACTAGTCCTGCTGATGCTGGGCCCTGGCCTTCCCCTGGGTTGACGAAGACAAGGCTTCCACAGCGGGACGGACGGCGATGAGACGCCGGGAACCTGGGGGCAGTCTTTTATTTCTGCCCCAATAAATCTTACCACTATCCCTCATCCTCCCAATGCGTGATCCCTGAAGTGCTTTTCTTGCGACACCGCAAGGACCTCATTTCCACCAGCAACATTGGAAGTAAGGCCTTCCAGGGAATGATCAATCAGGCTGTATAATGATATCATATAACCGTTTTTGTAGCTGAAGGAGCTAAGGACCAGAGAAACCTGAAAGGTAGGCACTGCGGAGAGGCCCAACCACCCTACATGGAATCTGCCTCAGTTAACACCATCGCTGGGCCGCCTCCCTCAGCAGCAAACTCCTGGCATGTGGGGGCCATGGATGCACTGTGTCACCTGAGCCCTAACCACTATCCAATGTGAGAGGCTCCAAAATAACGACCGGCTGAGAAAAAGAAATAATGTCAATTAAACCATGACATGCCATTCATTTCAAAGATAATAAAATGTGGACTGGTGAACCAATGGAATATGGTGTAAGAGAAAACGAAAAGGGCAAGGACATTAAGAGGAGACTTACACATACGAACACCTCTTTGTAAGTAAATCAATGACTTCATGCATTACCCTCAAAAAAATAATTTATAAAAGAATTAAAGAGAGCCAATTCCATCTATCATCCTGTTGGTGACCCTTCAAAGTAACCAATCAAAGTTTGCAGACTCATGAAGGTTTTACACACATGTGCTCCACACAGACCTGGTAAAGCTGGAAGTGGGGAGCGCATGGGACACCCGTCGTGTGGGGGCCCTAAGCAGGGCAGGGGCCTGAGCGCCTACAGACCTGTTTTGAGTCCGGGGTCCGCAGGTTCAGGCTGGCAGTGGATATGGTCAGGGAGATGCTCATTCCTGCAAACTGGAGGTTACTCTTGCCCAAGATGCTGGACAGCATTTTGTTTGGAGGCTGTGAAATCAAGCAGCATTATTTTAGCTTTTGAGTCACTGGAGACCACACTGTCGGGGCCACTCTGTTGTTCCTCTCCTACACCCCTAAGCCTCCACCTTCCCACCCGCATCAGGCACATGAAGAAAACTGCTTTGAATAAGGTGGGGAGGGGGGCGTTGACACTAACACGGAGATCCTAGAATGCACAATGCGGGAATGTAAAATATCTGTGCACACACCAAGACGAGCGGAAGGCGGGATCAGTGTTCCAGGCAGCGCACATCAGGATGCGTCTCACGGTGTGACTCCTAAGCCTGGGGAAGGGGCCACAGGCCAGGGCCTGCAGCTTCGCAGACTCAGAAACCAGCTTCATCCCACCAAGAGCCACACTAGTCAGGGCCAGACTAAACCAGCCCAGCTCAGGGGCCTATGAGCAATCCCCTCCGAGTCTTGAGAATGCTCTTTGCTGAAGGAATGGAACACGAATGCTTTGGCCGGCACATCCTCCGGTCAGGGCGCACATGGATGGTCCAACTGGAAATACAACACGCCTGGAGCCAGCACAGAATGGACAGACTCCGTTGGCTCTAACTGGTGCATCCATCAGCCCATAAGAAACATTCTTGGCACAGGGACTGATGGGAGGCATTGTCCAGCCAGGCACCTCCGCTCTGGGTGCCTGCATGGGCACTTGTCTCTCTCCATTGCTAATCCCCCAACCTTCCTCTTCAGGTAAGAACACCCCCCCTTTGATATGCTAATCAAGCCTAGTTCTTAATCCAGCGGCATAGCTTGTGAATCTCCTGCCAGAGCTATTCAAAGATAAAGCAGCCTGGGCCCTGATTGAGTATACCTGGGGGTGGAGTCTAGCAGCCAGCATCCTTTCAATCACTTGCACCCAGAGAACCAGGAGGGTACCCCAAGACTTGCGGGTCAGATGCCACCTGGCTCTGTTCTCAGACACCCTCCTAGTTCCCATACTCAAGATTCTGGAGTAACGCTTGGTTTCCCATGTCCCCTGTGAAATGACTGGGAACATAGGCCAGCACATCTGAGCGTCATCCAAAGTTCTCTGCCTGAAACTCAGTTGCTCTTTTGGTCACAAATGTCCCCAAGCTGGGAAGACAGAAATGACTCACAGGCTGCCCCAAACCTTAGCCTCAGGGCAAATTCAGAGCCACACACAGAGGAATACTCCCACATTCAAACCAGGCACAGAGAAGCCCTGATGGTGGGTATTTAGTTTTGTGTTTACAGACACTTAAGTAAAGAGTTTTCCTGAACTTCCTCTTAATTCAGTTTTATTTTTTTTCATTTTGGTCCAAATACCTCAAGATGAGAAAGTCGAGTACAGGGACTGGCCAAGCTCCAGCCCTAGAGCCAAGCAGTCTGGGCCGGAGCTTGGCCTCACCACCTACTTGCATCATGGGCTCTCCTCTCCGTGCCTCAGTTTTTATCTCTGTATACCCAGAGATACCCAACGGTGCTCTAGAGCTGCTTGTGCTAGCTAATGAGAGACAATTATGAAATGTATAGGAATATTATGAGCTGGTCATTAAAAACAGCTGCTATTAAAAGTTAATTATGAAAACTTGAAATTAAATAAATTACATTTAAAAGAACAATAAATACTCAAAACTCATCACATCCTCATTTTTGCTGCATGAACTATTATCTGTGCAGTTCAGGCTATTTGTGTCATTGTACCCGGCTCACCTGTGTGGTGGAGATACTGTATAATGGGTCTGCACATCTCTCCCAACTCCATTTAGGGACACGTTAGAGCTTGACACTGGCCAAGGTGGAAGTATTTACACCACAGAAACTGGCACTGCTACAAATTAGCGCTTCTCAGTCCCCCACCCTTGAAAGACAGCCGTTAAATTTTTACCAGCACACCGCTGAGGGCAGAGAATTGTTCTAATGAAGTGGATCAGTGACTCTAGGCTTAGAAGAATGCCTGGCCCTGTTTTACAAGGTGGTTGTCATCATTGTCTTCACATTTAGGCCCACAGTGAGTAGCCAGGGTATTGAATTTGGGTTGGCAGCAATAGCCAACTGTCCTCGTCAACCAGAGAAAGGGAATCTAAGCCCTTTCTGTTTTTAAAAGTGACAAGAGCCCTTGCAAGTTCCCCCTTTAAACAAGGGATGCTTTTTGGTTCTCCCTGGGCCAAAAAGAAAAAGTGACAAACGCCAGACCTTGGGAAGAGAACCGAACCACGTGTGTAATTAAAGGTGCTGAGTGGTGACACAGAGCAAAGGAGCAGAGGAGACAGTTAGACCAGAGCCGAGAGGACAGTACCTTTCTCTTCCTGAGGGCTCCCTTGGTGCCTGGGACAGCTTCGCAAACGCGGCTGATGGCTTCCCTGAGGGACAGGAAGAGAGATCCATGTTATCATGTCAGTCAGGATCACATAACCCAGACGCCCTGTGGGTTATGTAAACCTGGGGGGACCATCGCCTGCGTAAGGAAAGTGGACCTGCCAGCTCAGGAGGCCCCCAGCTCCTCCTCTAAGCAAAACACAATCAGATTATCTTGAACCTCACTGGCAGTGGCCCAGTTCTTTCCGGGTGGCTGCATCCTAACGTGTGCTGTGTGTGTGTCAGTGCCACCCGTTGCTTCAGTTTCTGTTTTGTCTTATGTTTGATTAAGATTCCGTTTCAGAGACTCGGTTCCCTGAAATGTTCTCTCTGGACGTTCTGTTCACAGCGATGGCACAGGGCCGACTCTCAGCCAAGCACCGCATTGATCGAGAGCCTTCTGAGTGAGTCAGAATGGGAGAGAAAGAAATGCGGCCCTCTGAGTGTTACTCCCGGTGACAAGAGAGAGGGTCTGAGACGTCCGGGATTAAACAGCAGCAGGCCGTCGGGTGGGAGAAAGAGGTAAGTGCCCCGGGCCAAACCCTTCTAACGCTGCTCCCATTCTTAAATGCGTGCGCAAGCTTTGGGTCAATGTTGGTGACTGTTTCAGCTCTTATTTGGAGAGAACAGCCGACTGCCAGACTCCACCACACGCTGCTCACGCGTGAACTTTCCGACTGTTGCCACGACAAACCCAGAGGACTCTGCACCTGTCCCAGAGCTGTCCCCACCTTGCCTTCTCTCACCCCCCTCTATCTGTAGCCAATGTCAGTTCTTTCAAAATAACTTCATCTTTCTCTCCACACTCATTGGATAAAAGAGCCCCATGAACCCCAGGACGGCAGATGTGCCTGTCTTCTCTGTCTACCCTGCTGCTGGTGGCTCGGACACTGTTCTGAAGAAGGCAGTGAGCGTCCTAGGTATTGAGGGGACCTGACAGGAGGACAGGCTGCAGGAGGAGTCTGACCCCCAGGTCTGCCCGGGGCAGAAGAGCACAGAAGCAGAGGGGAAATGTGCAAAAGCGGGCCAGCCCTGGCAGTGTGGAGCAGTGGTTAGAGCACCGGCCCACGCACTGAAGGCTGCACATTCGATTCCCGGTCAAGGGCACGTTCCTGGGTTGCAGGTTCTATCCCGGTCCCAGTCAGGGTGTGTATGGGAGACAACCAATTGATGTGTCTCTCACATGGATGTTTCTCCCTCCCTTTCTCTCTCCTTCCCTCTCTCCCTCTCTTCCATTCTCTCTAAAAATCAATGGAAAAATATCCTCAGCTGAGTATTAACAAACAAGCAAAAAAAGTACAATGGTGAGGTCAGTCCCCTGACCTCAATCATAGGTCTACTTTGGAAATAAAAGACATGACTTTTCTAGAATCTAGCCATGTTTTTTCCAGTGTTGACAGAGGGTCTTCAGGGATGACTAGGAGTGTAGAGTGTTGGGCAAGAGGTTAATTTCCAACCCAAGTAGCCAGCCTTGCTCAGCAGGTATCCTGGTGCATTTAACACATATTCTCCTTATTAAAGGTTACTTGCTGGAGGTTTATCTGATACGAGCCCCGAAATGCAGTCTCTTCCGCAATGGAAAGTGTCAGATCCTTTATCCAGTGACTACTGAAATAGAAAAGAACTTCTCAGTTGAAGAAGTCAGTCACACCAAACCCACAGAGAGGCATTTTTAAATGTAATTAATGATGTAGAGCTGGGAGAGTAAGGGAAGCAAGGAGGGAGAGGATGACATTTTCAGAGGAACATTTGATTTTAAGTTCAGGGGTTGAAAGCTGCTTAACTAGGAATTACGAGGGTCCACCTTAGATGTCATTGTCTACTGTCCTCTGTTTTTCCATGTTCCCTGTAATGAAGGAGAAACTGGAGTTGCAAATTAAAAGTTGCAGCACCTTTGCTTTTCGAGGGACTGCCTATAAGAATTGTGTGACAGCTCATCATTAAACAAATTAAAAACCCCTAGTAAACGTGACTGGGGCACACNCCTCCCTCCCTCTCTGTCTAAAAATCAATGGAAAAAATATCCTTGGCTGCAGATTAACAGGGAAAAAAAAGGGAGACTGGAGGGGGTTGCTGCTGTCCACATGCTGGAGGCCGGGCCTCGGGTGAAGGGGGAAGTGGCCCCGGCAGCTCAACTGGTGACTCAGCCTCAGAGATAAATGATGGCAGATCGGCTGAAGTTAAGAGCTAGAAGGAGGCGGGGTGAGCCTCACACTCCCACTCCCACTCCCATGCCCACTCCCACGCCCACTCCCACTCTCACTCGGGGAAAGACAAAATAGTAAGAGCACAGAGACGTAAACCGGGCTCAGGCACACCCAGCGACACAGAAGGCAGTGTGTCCTCTAGAGCCCACCAGCTTTCTCAGCTGCACATGTCTCGAAAGTATCTTCTATCATCCAGAAAAAGTCACCATCACAGTGCATTGCTTTGAAGAGAAATACGACCTTGTCAAATTAGGAAAGAGACTATAAAGATAAGCTTTACATGTGCCTTTAAATTTACTGTAGAGAGCGGAGAAAGAAATACTATTCTAAAAGTTCAGAGACCATGAAAACCCTAGACTATGAATCACCATGACTCAGAAAAAATTTACTTAAAATAAATAAGTGACTTTAAAGTTTATATTTAGCCATTTATTTTATAATAATATTCTTACTGTGGTTCCATGAAAATAACCATCCCAAGTACTTTCTAAAAGTAAATTCCTATTGAAGGTCAAGCTGTCCCCTTAAACAGCTGCACAAACCCCAGTACCTGCATTGCCCCTGCTTCCGTCTTTAAAACTCGGTGCATCTCTCTGCTGTACTCGGTATATTAAGTGATGTATTTAGCTAAGCAAAGCAGCTAATTCTCTCATAGTCCCAGCAGGCTGGAAAAACATTTTATGATAGCAAGTCACCCGTAAGTCATTTCTTACATACCCTTCATAAGCATCCGGTTTCTTTTTCCATCCACAGACATGAAAGATAAGAAGGGGGATGACAGTCTTGGGTGACAGTTTCCCAGAAAAATTTGATTCAGGTTAGAGGCCCTCCAAAGTCTAAGCTAGTCAGGCCACCACAGGGCTTGGGCGGTGGGCTGGCTACTAATGTGCCTGGGAGAGGGAGGTGGAAACAGCAAGGGATCATTAAGAACAGGATTGTGGAGAAGACCCTGAGAATAATAAACACGTTCTGCAGAACTAGTCCTCCCACAGGGAGGCAGGCAAGCATTTCAGGGCAGAGCGAGAAACTCAGTCTTTTGTCCTTATAAAATGTGCAAACATAAGAAATTCGGGAAACTACTCAGAGCGCATGGAGTCAGGAAGCCCTAAGAACCCCCTAAATGCTCTCCCTTCTCATTGGTGTAGATTTGTTGCCAATGTTCAAATGATAGCATATGTGTGTGGTTCTCATTTTAATCAGACTGATGGTATCTATTTCTATCTGAAATAGAAATGGGATGTAAATATTAGTAATTGCAGTGGTTAGATGAATGAAATTAGTAACTTTAACTCTGAAGTCTAATTTTAAACTCACAATTCTCAGGGTCCCTCCTTACTGTGTAGTACCTGCATTTTGGTGAGCAGTGCTGTTTCAGTTTGTTCATTTAGCAATAATTATTTAGCTCTGTGTAATTCCATTTAATCCCTGTGTGAGTCTCAGGTAGCAATTTTGCCCTGTTTTTAATAATAGAGATTGCTCCTTAACATTCTGTTCAGTACAATCCCATTTTGTTAAGCCAAACCATGAGCTCCGAGCTCAGTCAATAGAAGATGAACTATTTGGCACCGTCACAGTTATCTGAAAGTAATCCCCAATGCTGACCCCCAGTTTTCATGATATCACCATCTTCCTCTACTCAGCTAAAATGATCATCGTTAGAGCCAGGACCGCTCACCTCTCGTAACATTTTCATTGGAACGTAGGATTTTGTAACTGGGATCTTTGAAATCCTGTAGCACCATCTTTCTCCTCACTCGTCCATCTCATTGCTGCCAACAAGACACACACACATACACACACACACACTCTGCACAGACTCAAACAATTAAAAAAGGACTTTGGTGATTTCCGCACTCATGAGATTAGACTGAGGGAGGGAGGGGCAGCAAACAAACACGACAGCAAAGTGGGATCAATTTCATGGGCCGGCGAGAAGGACAGATGCATGTGGCAAAGGGGATCGGAGCTGGTCACCCTCAAACAGGCCGCTTTGGCATAAAGATTATTTTAAGCTGAAGGCAACTGAGAAGCAGCAGATTCAAGGAAGCCCTGTGATCTCCCCTATTTGCCTAAAAGCAGGACATAAATTTGTGGAGGCGCACCCCTGCTCTCTACCAGGAAGCCCTAGACCCGGACCAGCCCCGAGAAAGCAGAGGGGTCCGCAGGGGAAACCTTGTAGGAGCCCTCACCTTCCGCGGGCCCCCCCACGCCCACCTTCCCACAGCCCGCTGCCCACACGCCCGAGCGCCCCTCCTCTGTCCTGTCTCCTCTGTGCAGATCGGTGGCTCTTTGGTCAAGCCGTATAGGAGCCTAAGTTCTAAACGCTCTCAGCGCCTCATCACTGTCGCCCTGGCTCACGTGCACCGGCTGCATTATCACTGTCAACCTGCCTTCTGTCGGCTCTGCAGGGCCTAACCCAGAGCACGTAGGAGGGCAAAGCAAAAATGTTTTTCCTCCCCTACAGAAGCACATGTGGTAACACTGTCAGGAGGGGGAAAGAGGGGCCCAGTCAGGGGCATTTGAGTGACTGGCAGTTATCCAAGGGAAAGGAGGTGGGGGTCCTATCTTGTGCTTCATATGCAAATAAATTCTACATAGATCACAAATTTATTTGTAATGAAACTGTAAAAGTACTAAAATAAAACTGGGAGGACATTTTTTAATCTTTGAGTGAAAAGATGATACAAAATCCAGAAACCACAGAAGAATATACTGACACAAGAGCATGAAAATAACACTTTATACACAAGGAAAAAACGGTAACATTTCTTAAAGAGATCCTTGCTCTGATAAAAATC